CTCTCTTCTACTCTTTGTGATTCCAGAGCATCCTGTTCTAACGCTTTTATACACTTTTTGTTTATACACTTTTAAGACTGAATCACATTATAACTAGTTGTACACACATTTGTCTTCTCTAAAGATTATGACTATAAACCACATCAATTATTTCTGTACCTCTTCCCTTGATCTAAACGTAAAACACAGTGCTCCATAAATGTCTGTTGATTTAATGTTTTAGTATGAGTTTTCATAATTAGGTGGCAGTTATATCATTTTAACTACATTTTAGATTACTAGGATTAAATTAAATCACAAAGTATTCTACAATACACAGTTTGTACTCATAACCAATTCTTTGTAGAAAATCCATAAAGATTGTAATTGAGAAATGAAAAAAGTATTACTTCAATATCATTTAAACATTAAAACAAAGGATACCTCCCTAGATAATTACTGAGTCATGCCCTATCATTAAGTTTTCTTGCCAGAGTCAACAGTAATCAGAATACAGAGAACAAACTGAGGGTTGACGGGAGGGGCAGAGAAGAGGGGAAAATGGGTGATGGGCATTGAGGAGGCCACTTGTTGGGATGAGCAATGGGTGTTGTATGGAAGTGATGAATCATGGGAACCTACCCCCCAAACCAAGAGCACAGTGTATGCACTGTATGTTAGCCAACTTGACAATAAATTATATTAAATAAATCATTTTTAAAAAGTAATTACAATATAAAAATAAATAATTTTAAAATGTAATCAGAATATAAACAGTTTTACCACTTTCAAAACAACACAAGTATAATTATTTAATAAGGTCTTCTAAATGATTATTCCAACATCAGTCCATCCAGATACATTCATAGAAAGTGCTAACCTCTTTTTCCCCGAGTACCATTCAATGAAGAACCAATGTAAAACAAGAGGAAGCATAGCCATAAATCCAAGATACAGCCAATCATAAAGTTCTGGAGACTCTGTGCAAGGCTGACAATATTTCTGTGCATTTGTTCTCTGTCCTCTTGGACACACCTACAAAATATAAAAACAATATTTTATGTACATATATTATTTTAGAACATTGATATCCCAAAGTCATTTCAGTTTAAACATGTTTACATGTACATCTTTTAGAAATAAGAAAGTTCCTAAGTAAAATTAAATCTATATTGTATTTGGTTTTAGTTGTATAACACCTAAAAAATTCCTTTTACTAAATTACTAAAACTTTAAATGATTAGTTAATAACACTATATAAAAATAATTGCAAAGAAAAGTTCTGGAGTTTTAATGTTAACTTACTGCCCAAGTCACTGTACTATATCATTAATAACAAGTAAAAGTTACTATAAAATTAAAAGATACTAAAAAAAAAATACTAACTGCAACTGTCAAAAATGACAATATGTTGACAGTATGACAACACAAATAAGAATTTTATTAATGCCTCATATTTTTATAAATTTATGAGTATACTGAAGAAAAAAAGATTCTATGTATGCAAATACAAAAGCAAAAAGATTTTAGCAATGAAATAACACATTAAATGTTAAGACTTACCCCACATTCTCCATATATTTCAGTTGAGCCATTTTTAAATAATAGGGTCTTCCCACAGTAAAGTCCAAGGCATGCTGGTTGAATATCGACAGCTTTTTAAAAACAAATGCCAGTATAGTAACATCTTTTATGATTATAAAAAAAAGAGTAATAACAGCTGAAGCACGTACCAGAAATACCTCAACACAGTTCAATTAAAAAATGATACGCATTAGACAAAAGTCTTGATACGCTTATATTTAAACTTAACTTTCTCCTTTTACACTGTAACAATGCAGAAAGTTATACTGAAACTTTGATGTTAAGGCTATTCCTTATGATTAAGACCCCTCAGCCAGCTGAGTGGGATCTATCCCCAGAATTCAAAGCTTAACCCAAGGCGGGGACGGGGGGACACCAGGGTGGCTCAGTCAGTTAGGTGTCAGACTCCAGCTCAGGTCATGATCTTGCGGTTCGTGAGTTCAAGCCTCACGTCTGGCTCTGGGTTGACAGCTTGGAGCCTGGAGCGTGCTTCACATTCTGTGTCACCCTCTGTCTGCCCCTCCCCTGCTCACGCTCTGTCTCTTTCTCAAAAATAAAATAAAAAATAAACATTAAAAAATTTTTTTAAAACAGCTTAACCCGGTATGTCCCAATGGCTCCAAGAGCTACTCCCCCTTGATGAGATGGTCTAGACTTTTGCATTTCCATTTTTTAATCAGGAAACTAACAGACGATCACCACCCCACATTTGGCCCAGCCATAACAGTAAGTGTGCACATATTCACACACACGTCACCTTTCGTTCACACAAAATATCACCTTCATTCATAATAGAACACATTTTAATACCAGAAAAGCAGAAAATACATAACTTTGAAATAAAGGGCAGGCCTTTAAAATAAATAAATTTACCTTTAGGAAAAACCTTACAACATTGTCCTAACTTTTGTCATTTTTTTCGAGGACAGGTGAAAATCTCATCAAGGTTGTCACTGGGCCTCTCCCCAATATTTGGGAACAACTACCTTAGAATCTCTGATCTCAAGGCTTAGGGAAAATAAAAAGCAGGTCTTCTTTATAAAAAAAAAACAAAACAAAACAACAAAAACTCTGGGTCTACAGACTGTCTGTGACCTCATCAGCAGGAAGAAGTTATTAAAGGAGTTTTTTCATCAGAGACATCTGATTGCCTTTGTTCATTGACTTATTCATTCAATAAACATGCATTAAGTCACAGATTCCCTGGCTAGGGACTTCTAAAGATCCACAGAGCAACATAACAAGAGTCCCTGCCCTCAAAGAACCTAGAGCCTTGAGTAGAGTAAATCCAGAAGCGAAATCAATCAGTCAGTCAGAGAAAGACAAATACCATATGATTTCACTCATATGTGGACGTTAAGAAACACAACAGATGAACATAGGGGAAGGGAAGCAAAAATAAGATAAAACCAGAGAGGGAAACAAGCCATAAGAGACTCAATTATAGAGAACAGAGAGCTTCTGGAGGGGAGGTGGGTGATGGGCATTAAGGAGGGCACGTGTTATGATGAGTACCAGGTGTTATATGTAAGTGATAAATGACTGAATTCTACACCTGAAACCAATACTGCACTATATATTAAGGAATAAATCCTAAACACCTGTGGTCAAGTATGAATCAACTTGGAAAATAAGCATTTTATGACCATTGCAGGGGCTAAGGGCAGGTTCCCAAAATGTGCTACTTTGGCATACCAATTATTTGAAACAAATGTTACTTAAGAAACAAGGGGGCAAGGACACTCCGACCCTCTCTCCTGAAAGCAAGGAACAAACCTCCCATACGAAAAATATCCTTCTTATACTAAGCAAAAAGACATCCTTTATTATCAGTGATAATAAAGCTGCAGAAGTAAACCTTGTTATTTTACTAACCTACTACCTTGGCCCCAAAATCTGTTTTCCTTTACCCGTAAATTCCTTCCAAGTTTATTGTCTCTTTGTCTAAAACGTATAAGAACTCCCTGCCTTGGTCATTTCTTTAGGTTTCAATTTCATAATTGTTTCTCCATACACTTGTTATAAAACTGAGGTTTTTTTTCCTGTTAATCTGTCTCATGTGAGTTTAATCATTAGCCCAGCTGGAAAACCCTAAGGGTAGAGAAGAATTTTTCCTTCCTTTCACTATTCTTGAATAACCATTTCCCAAATTCTTCATGAATTCACTCTAGAGACTGCTTGGTCCACTATGTCCTTTCCCCTTTCAAATTCAAGTAGATTTGACTTTTTTCTCCTTGTGCTGAGAAACAATAGCAATAGCACAGACTAAAAGTCTGCCAACTTTAATGTCACTTTTATCACACTTACTTTTTTTAATCCATGGTCTTCTTTACCTTATTTGGCACTTTTTAACCAATTGTAATCACTATGTCCTAAATTACTAACAGACAAAAAATGAATTGTTTCAGATTTTTTGAGAAGACAGAATTAAAGAATGGAGGCTTCTTCCACGTGGATTTTGCACCTAGATGTTTTATAAATACATATGTATGTATTTCAAATCCAAGGCCTGAAAACCACTATGATTGACTGAAACCAACAACAGCTCATCACCCATCAAACAAAACCGCGGCTCCCCGTGTCCGTTCAATTGCCCCTCCCATCTCCTTTCCTGGAGGACGGCTAAGATTTTAAGACTTTTTTTTTTCCTTTTGCAACGGTCTTGCCGCTTTGTGAAGGGCCCTGTAAACTTAACGTCTGACGCTGAAGCGGGCGACAACAGTTAGGCAGCAATTAGCTTCAGCTTCCTTTAATGTTTTCTGGGCACTAACGCCCGCGCTTTAAATTCTTAAGTCAGCCATGAACGCTACACAAAGGAACTAAAACAAGGGCAGCGAAGTGACCTCCCGAACAACAAAGACCTGGCCTTTGCCCTGGCACACGGCCGGCATCCCCCAAGCGGCACGTCTCCTCTGCAGCCCGAGAGGGGCCGAGACCGTCCCGACCCCTGGAGGAGTCCCGGGCCCGCTCGAGGGCGGTGCGAGCAAGGGGCAAGGATGCGCCGCTACCCGGAGGCCACCCGCAGGAGCAGAGCCCAGAGGCGCCAGCGAGGGTAAGAAGCAGGGACTAAGGCAAACGCTTTCCCGGACTTCGATGACCACTCACCCATTGGCCGCTTGCAGGTTTCCTTGAAGAAGCTCCGAAATCAGCCACCCGGCTCGCGGCGCCCGGACATCCGGGCCACAACAGCCAGGGCGGCCCCACCTCCTGGTAACCCGGGCGACCAACCCGAAGCCCCGCCCCGCCCCACCACGCCGAAGCCCCGCCCCGCCCCACCACGCCGAAGCCCCGCCCCCTCGCGCTTCCTCGTCTCCGCTCTGAGGCCCCGCCCCCGAGGCGGCCGCACGTCCACCCTCTCTCGCGCGCGGAGTGCGCGGGTGGGCTCGAGGCTGGAAGCGCGTCCGGCGGTGACGTGGTGGAGCTCCTGGACGCTAGCGATGGAGAGAGCGCTGGCGGTGCCGCGGCTGCCGCCGCACGACCCGGGGACACCGGCGCTGTCGGTGGTGGACATGCACACGGGCGGCGAGCCCTTGCGCATCGTGCTGGCGGGGTGTCCGGAAGTGGTCGGCCCCACACTACTGGCCAAGCGGCGCTACATGCGCCAGCACCTTGACCACCTGCGACGACGGCTCATGTTCGAGCCACGCGGGCACCGGGACATGTACGGGGCTGTGTTGGTGCCTAGCGAGTTGCCGGACGCGCACCTGGGCGTCCTGTTCCTGCATAACGAGGGCTACAGCTCCATGTGCGGCCACGCAGTGCTGGCGCTGGGCCGCTTCGCAGTCGACTTCGGGCTGGTCCCCGCGCCCCCTGCCGCTGCCCGCGAGGCCCGCGTCAACATCCACTGCCCGTGCGGGCTGGTGGCCGCCTTCGTGGAATGTGAGGGCGGCCGCAGTCGCGGCCCTGTGCGCTTCCACAGCGTCCCGGCCTTCGCGCTGGCCACAGGTAAACGGGAACACCCTCCTAGCTCCGGGACGCAACTAACACCACTAACCGCCTCTCTGTCCTGGAACCCACGCATAGCAATTAACACACTCTCATGCCTTTGCAGTTAATAAAAAGGTAATTCCAAATCAAATGCGTGTCAGCCTTGCGGATTTGTGCGGTGTGTGCAATTCGATTATCCCGCAGATTTATTCATCTTGGTCTTGGGAGAGCCTTGAGGAGTACAGAATTCCGTATCTCCCTTACTCGGCGCCTCACTCCTCACTGTCAGGCATTCCTAGAGACTTCACAGTTGGGTAAGTCTCATAGGGTTAGAAAGAGCAAAGAACAGCCAATGTACCAGGGTTCATTGGCTCGTTAAGAATACACATATGAGACACATTATTACTCCCTGACAAGTTACTAAACCCTGTCTCCTTTTCCTCACCTGTACAAAGTGCCTTCTCCACTTCTTTGGAAAAGAATTAAATAACAACGAATGAATTAGGCAATTTACAAATCGGGAAGTTACAGATGTTGCTGCTCTTACTCTTGAAGAACAGGAACAGATGTTGCCTGGGGCCAAATCCTGACAACCCCTTAAAGCTATCTATGCAACCTTAATCAAATTACTAACCTCTCTGTGCCCCTATTTTTTCATTTGTTATCTCATTGAGTTTTGGGTGAAGATTAAATAAGAGTATGCAAGGTACTTAGCATTTAACAAGACATTTCTAGAGACAGAAGCCTGCAGAATATATAGGTTTGCTAGAGTTCTACAAGTGCTGAGCCTCTAAAAGGTTTTGGTGGGTTCCTTAGCACAGAGCCTAGTCATGTAAAACAGAGTGTGTGTAACTATAACCCTTACAAAGAGGGAGATCTCTCCAAAATAGTCATGACTGGAAGTGAGCTGAGAGCTAATTTAGTCCATTCAGGAATAGGGTTATCGCTTCCTTTCCTGTAAGTCTTCAGCGAATGCAAATCATTCTGTTAGATCTTAATCTTTCTTGAGGATTTGGATTCTAGATTAGCCTGATTATGGATGATACAGTAAGAGCCCAGGCATGAGCAGGTATTTGCCAGTCTGAGCAGCCGCAGGCAGTTGAAACACACAGGTTGATGAAGAATTCCTCTGGGGGAAATTTATGCCATTTTTGCCCTCTACAAGAGAATGGTATCACATCCTAATTGGGAGGGCACTTGAGACAGGTGGATGTTTAAGATTGTATCTCAAAAATCTCAGCAGTTTAAGTAGCTTGGCTATCCAGTTTCTCCCCAGGCAAACCCAGCACCAGATTAGAAGCACTCTAGAATTGTGGGAAATGACAGCTGGCAGCAAGTTCACCATCATTCGGGGCTGGTTGGGGCAGGACAGCCAATCTATAAGCACAACAGCTCCCAAGAGCATCACTGTGTGACTATACAATAATCAGTGGGCACTAATGGTCACTTTGAGTCATTAAAAAAATATGCTAAATTCTCTACTTTGAAAAATACAAAAAGGGTGGACAGGGTTCAAGATCACTGCTCTGCCCCTCCCCATCTTGATGACCTTGTGAAAGGGATTCAATGCCTCAAAGTCATGATCGGCAAAATGAAGATGACCACAGTACCCACCTTAGAGGACCACTGGGTTCTTTTTCACTCCCTTCAGCTAAAATGAAAACTGGTTTTTTAAGTGCTAGAACAGTAGGTAGTCAATTAATATTTGTAGAATAAGTAAATAAATGAAACTGAGAGAACATGCTGATTAGCAAATGTAAACATCCCCCTAATAGCCCTCTTCCCACTGGAAATGAACCTTTTGACCTTACTATCAACATTTATTATGTTCCTGATTTGTGCCAGGCACTCCCCACACATTATTGCATGGAATTCACAAAACAGTCCTTTCAGGGTGGAATTAGCAGTTCCATTTTACACACGAGGACACCAAAGCCACGCTTAGCTTTCCAGCCGTCCTTCATTTCCATCTACTTCCTCATTCTCTTTTCATTAAGTTTGACTTTTGTGTTGCACCAGCATCACGATAAAGACAAAAACTTTTTCATTCGTGTTTGCTTTTAAGTTCCGCAGGCATATTTGATTATCAACTTGCTCTGTTTTGACACATCACGTGTCAAAAGGGGCTCTGTGGGCTAGCCTGGAACTGAAGGCATACCAATATCTTTGTATGACTCAGTGTGCAAACTAAGGAATATAATAAACATTGTATTTTTCACAATGTCTGATTTTGAGACCCTACTCTGCCTTGTTGGATTTGCCTAGCCTCATCCCTCCACGTGGTGTCCCCTTTCCTGCTATATGTGTAGCAAAGTTTTCTTAGAAGAGCCAAGGCCTTGGAGAGGAGGGCCTTTTGGCCATCAGCCTGCACAAGTAACCAGCGAAGCATAATCTACCCCTGTCCATGTGGCTCCTGCCCCTGCTTTCCCTCCTTTTTGCTATCTCTATCACACCCTGTAGCCTCCCTGTATGCTGTGGGGAAGTCAACATAGGTCCTCTGCACTGAGGACCTGCTGCCTCTTTTCTCCAGAGGAAACCAGGAGAAATATTTCCCCTTCAGAATACTGCTTTGCCAACAAACCTCTCTCCCCTGAGATCTTAGGTTTCCATAAAACCTGCTTTCTCCCCTGACATAAGCCTCCCCCAAAGGCAATGATCACCAAGCCAGAATGAACTGGGGAGGAGGAAGAGAGGAAAATACAAGAAGGGGTAAAACAGTTTTAGTATCTCCAAATATCATCCAGCTCCATTCCTTTGGAAATACCAATTTAGGATTTCAAACAACTGACCTTCGGGTGAAACTTTGGGTATGCCAGGGGCTTAGAATACTCAAAAACTCTGACACAAAAAGATACTGTAAACATCAGCAGTGATTCTAAAATGGATTTATTCTGAGTATTTGCAGGATGCTTTCATGAGATGAAAATACATAGATTTTCATCATGAGATGAAAATACATAGATTTTCATCATGAGATGAAAATACA